CATCTTTGGATCCCTGTTTGATGCCCCTGCATGCGGTGACATGACCAATGAGTTGTTTAAATGGAATATAATATTTATGAGGTGCCAACCAGGAGTGGATCATTCTAAGAATATCAACATCGAAGTGATATGGATCCAGTGCTTGAAGGACCTTAGATCTGGCTACTGTGTCAAAGGCCTTTTCCATATCCAAGGAGATCTGCAAGCCACCCTGCATACCCGGTGCATTGGGACTCGAACGAAATTGACTACAAGTGTCACGAACTTGTCGGCAATGTGAGGCCACAATGAGAAGGCAATCACGAGTTCCCCGGGAGGGCAGGTAAGCATACAGCGGCAGTTGTCTCAAGGTTGGAAAGGTCTGTGTCAGGATCAATTGACACTGTATGCCAGCAAACGCCTTGTTGACTGGATGCTGAAGGCATATCGGTCTCAGTGCTTGTGGTTTGAATGGAGTTTTGTTCGGCTTGGGAAGGAGGTGGATCCAACCCGTTGTCCAATGTGACGGAGGTTGTATGTGAGACCCCATCCAACATTCAACAAAGGTGTTCATAACAGGCCATGTAAGTTCCGTGGCAAAATGTTTCCACACCAATGCTGGCAGGCCGTCAGGTGCCAGGGCCTTCGTACTGGGCAGCGCTCTCAGTGCATCAATCATAGCCTGACAATCGAACGGTGCGGTTTGGAGAGGTTCAGTGTTAAATTGGGGCAGGTGAGCATCTGAGTACAAGGCAGTATAGTATTGTTCAATCTGTTGTGTCTCCTGGGTTGGAGACAGAGGCATACCATGCGGATCATACAGCTGAATACGACGCATCCGTTGCTTAGGACAGAACTGTCGAATCTTGCGATACCATTCAAAGGTCTGACCGTGCATGGCCAGGTTGGCCCCTTCCGCCAGGATGCTTTCAAGTTTCTGTCGTCTGTGAGCACGACTAAACTGCCGGATCTGCTTGTGATATACCAAAAAGGTTGTGACATGTCCACAACACTTGAACAACACGCGCAACGATCTGCCTTGGAATCGAAGGGCCTCTCTACGAGCATTCCACATCCTGGAGGAGATGGAAAGAAGTTGGGAGGGGGCAGAACTGTGGGAACGTCTTTTGGGAAAGTATTGGATGCACAGAGTACGAAGGTGATGTTCTAGTTCAAGTATACAATCCTGAGCGGAGCGTCCAGGCAGTGTGGTCATGTCATGGATCAACTGGCGTGCACGAGCCTCAAAACGGACCCAACTATCCAACTGCGTCTGATATGCATGTCTCATAGCAAATCGATCTATCCGATTCAACGGAAAGTGGAGCGTCTGAGGAGCATGCCACTTGGGAAGTGTCACCAGCAAAGGATGATGATGAGGTCCATTGATGCCAAAGTTCCTTTCGAATTGGGCATTTGTGATCGGTTGCATGCGACGATATTGTACCTGCGATTGTCGAATCAGGATGTAGTCTATACGTGAGGCATGTGTGCCATGTGTGAATGTGTGCTGATAGCCCCCTTTACAGTTAACGGCTATCAAGTCCTGAGTTCGCAAGAGCTGCTGCAAGACATGGCTGTCCGAGTGCACATTGTGATGTCTTCTGGGGTCTTCAATTCCTACAAACGGTGGATCAGCACGAAGAACCGTGTTGAAGTCTCCAAGAACAACCAAATAATGGGCCTTAGGAATATGGTTCAAACAGTCCTGGAGAGTGTGCCATAACTTTTGTCGTTTTTGAAGGAGGGGTTATGATCCATGGGATGCATTCCAAGCGTGTTGATAAACAATGAGAAAATCAGTTGTACGCTTTAGAAAAACTCGCACATGCAAGAGTCGTCCTTCAAGCAATGCAGCTGTGGCTATTCGATCAACTGGTGCAATGTGAGTGCGTACCATCAACAAGACGGAAGCTTGCTTGCTCGCTGAATGAGTGAAGTGCCACTCAGAGGTGCTCCATGTGGCTGAGAATCCCCAGCCAGTCTCCTGGATTGCCAAGACGTCAAGCGGTTGAGCTGAAGCCCATATCAACAGTTCTGCATAGACCAATGCTTTCGATGCATTCCACGTCATGCACCGTATGCCTGGTGCAGTGGAAATTGGCATCAGCTCCTTGCGGGCTGGCGGCAACTGTCGATAGGATTCCCGAAACCTCCATGGTACATCAGCTGGAAGTATCAACTTACCTCGGTATTCAGCCATGCCATGGCGCAATGCTCTGTAGCATGCTCTTCTGTAAGCGCGTTTGATGCGCACAATGCGCGGCCGGGCTGAGACTTGGCCGTAGCCACCAAAAGCCCATACCTCATGAAGCTTTGTGGAAGAAGGAGTCGGAGCCAATGTTGTCCTCCACTCTCGCTCAGAGCTAAGGTACTCTGAGCAACCCTCGCGCCGGCCATGATGGCAGGATAAAATGGCTTTGCATCTGCGCGCATGTCCCCCGGAATTGGGACCGGGAATTCCAGTACGGTCTTCAGCAGTGAGAAGGCGGGAACAATAAGTATAAAAGACCAAGGCATCATCACAAATACAGAACCACACGGAACATGGCACCTCGCCCCATAAGACGCCCGCAACTCTTGAACTGGAAATGGCGCTTATTATATTCATTATTATATTATATTTTATCATTTATAAAAAAACATTCAATTCACTATAAAATTTAATATATCCATCGTATAAATAAATATATTAATAAATTAAATATTACACCAAATTTTTCATTTAATTTTCAATAAATGGAATTTCTTTCATTTCATATTTTATAACATATTCAAAAAATAATCTATTTATAATAATTTGGATATATATATATATATTTTTTTCAATATAATTTCGACGATATAATTTATAAATCTCTTTATAATCCTTTTTATATTCCCCATTCATTAATATCAAATCCAACAAAAATCATCTCCAATAAAACGGTCCTTCCATTTTATAAAGATAACATAATAACCATTATAACAATCTCAACAAAAATAACCCGTGCAGCGGGAAATGCGTCTGAATTTAATGACGCGGGTTTATGCGGATTTACACGGGTTTACGCGGGTTTACGCGGATTTACGGGTTTACGCGGATTTACGCAAATTTACAGGTTTACTGGGTTTAGAGAATAGTTCACAATAAGAAAAACCTAATTGTGGTGTTTGCGGCCAGCGTAAAACACGTGCTTTTTATCGCTTATCTTTAGTAGCCTCATATAGCCCTAAAACTAATCTACCTAAACTATCGCTACTTCGCAATAAAAATTAAGCTCAAGCTCAACATCTTCTTCCGAAGTGTTCGCACTAAGCATAACATAAAGACATAAAGTGCCGGAAAAAAAAAAAAAAAAAAAAAAAAAAAAACAATAATATTTCAACATATAAGGCCCCCTTCAATAAGACCGACGATTACAAAATAGGAACAATTCGTATTAATATTAATATATCCATTAAAAGGTCCGTACCTAAAACGCTCACATGGGCCACCTACATACCCTACCAACAATAATTCCTTTACCGGTGTAAATCGATAAACCGGTTTCGGCAAATACCAAATGCGCGTAATATCGCAATAAATATAATATCATAAATACGATCATTATTTTTTCCTCCAAAATTCGATATAATAAACTAATCTTTTATTATAATATTAATCTTTCAAAATTCGCAACCTTAAAATAAATATAACTAATAACCTATATATAATATGAATTTATTCAATAAACAATATAAAACATTATCATTTCCCTCATAAATAATATTAAATAACGATATATAACGATAATACATATTTATTTTCCGTTTTATTCTACGAACATTTTAAATACCATATTAATATCACACTCTAAAATATATTATACATATTTATATTGTATTATCGTCCCATTACTATTAACATATATTATATTTACTATACATTAAGAATTGTTTATATTAATGTTATTATGTATATATAATTATTTATAATTTTTCAATTTATCTACAATTAAATATATATATAAAATCTAAACATATATTTAAATCGATATATATATATAGAGATTATATTTTAGATAATATTATCTATGTTATTTCAAATTATACAGGATCCAATGTCAAACCAAAAGAAACAGCCCTGAATACAACTCCTAATCCAGGCCTGTGGACTTTGAAAGCCCCTGTCTGCCAACTCCAGCAGCACGCAGAAAAGCTGGTTGCAGCAGTCACTCCAAAGCTCATGCTAACGAAGAAAGGTCTAGTCCTTTGTGGGATTGGAGGTCCTCTGAAGATTCGAGTTGGCCTTCCTCTGTTAAACTGAGCAGTTCATGGTTGTTCTTGCGAGTGTTTTTCAATTTGGCTCCCACAAACACCATAAGAGTTCCACAAAGGGCCACGAAAGCAAACGCAAAAACAAACGCACCGCAAAACCAATGAAAGCGCTCTCTGCTTTCTTTTTCAGACATGTCGATCTCCCTCGCCATGGGAAACCGTGTTGGCTTCACAGTCTCTGCAGTCCAGCTCCGTTCGGAAGGTCCGGCATCAAATGGCCAGAACTTTCGCTCTGATCTGGGAGTTGCCTTGAGCTTTGAGATGCTGCACATCCATTCACACTTTCACAGGTCACACAACACTACATTCAGCTCAGTTTTGGTGTATGACTCTGTGTGGCAAAGCCAAAAAGCCCAAGCTGAATAGTCTGACTGACTCTTAATTTAGCGTTTGACAAACTCAGCCAAAATGCCAAAATCCAAATGGTGCTGGAAGTGTTCCTCTGCAACGCGAGCAATTCTTTTGGAAAGTGCGTCCCGCAATCGTCACGTCTACCAAGCTACCTTTGCGCTTCACTTAGCTCCCCTTGCTGGTCCCCCTTGTTCGTCTGCGACCAAACCTGCATTTGAGGCAAAACCCAACGACGGCCACTTTCTAGCTACCACACCACCAATCTCAATTTACCTTGCCAGAAAAGGCCTCCTTATGCAAAACATGAGCTTTCATAGCTTTCAACCCTCATGCTGCGCACCCTCGCGGAGCTTTGGCACCTCACGTCAATGTCAGATTCTTCCTGACATGTTTGCCTCAGTGGTGGTGATCGGTGATCCTTCTTCCAACCCTTCTTCGGCTCCACCACATCAGCCACATATACAGATGTATGATAAAAAAGGAAGGGTGTTCTACTTTGCATGCCTTCATGAGTCCTTCTTACGTAGTACCAACCAACAAAAAGGCCCAAACAACTTTCTTTTGTCTACTGAAAAGCCTCTGGAGATGAGATAATCCAACATTAACATGTAGCTGGGTGCTGGATCTCCTGGAGCCTGCGTTGGACTTTCCATTCCTCACAGCATGAACACGATGAGCACCCTCCTGCATGAAGCGCAAAACTCTTTTGAGGCCCTGGCTTCTATGCTCGGAAGGCCAACCATAGAACCACCCAGCTACGCTCTGCCCAGGGCCCGTACCATATGCCCATCCAGCCTGGGGCGTACTAGCTGACTAGCTAGCTCCATCACAATATGATAGAAGTCTCTTTAGCTCTTCCCGTTTTCGAACGTACATGTTGCTAGGCGCAAAGACAGTCGTCAGGCAATTCAGACGGAAGCAGCTAAGCATCAAACACTTCTGAATTCGATCAAAATAGGGTCAGTGGATGTTCATTGCAATTCGTACACTACGTGCCTGAGAGAAAACCAACGAACCCTGTTCTCCAAGCAACATAGGAATCTCGATGCGTGATCATTTGGGTTGGTGGTGATTGGTGGCGTCCCCATGCAGCTCCCGGCAAATGACACTCCCCGGAGTCAAGGTTGTGCCAATAACGACTCCCACAGTGTCTGCGTCTCTTCAAGATGTCTATGCCCTTCATATCCGTGTGGCACACTGATCTCGCTGTTGCCCAGGCTTCCGAACAAAACAAACTCAACGGTCGTTTGATTGCAGGTTGCAGCAATCATTCATGGTCGCATTACAGAAATCCTTTTACCAGACTATACCATTGAACAAAGGAATGCTGCACCCCCTGATCTGGTCACTTCCATCGTTCGTCTTGTGTGTTTCACTCCTCAGCAGCAAACCGACCCGCTTGGGTACCCTGGCTCGTCCAGTTGAGCCCAGAGTGCTGAATTGGTGCCAATGGACCTAAATCAAGGGAGCTGTTCTGGACTGAGGAAGGCTGATGGAAATAGCATGAAATAGCGTAACCAATCTACAACCGGATTCGTCGGTCGTTGAATGAGACAGAAAGGACTGACTGTCATGGATGAGCCAAAAGAGCTTTCCGTCATGTTGAAACCAAACTCAATTCCAAGGCTTGCACATGGAGGCAGGCGCTTCCAGGGGTCCTGGGGCGGAATGTTCCAAGTCTTTGGTCACAAGGAGGATTACATTTTGACAAGAGAAAAAATGTAGACCTGTACCAGCAAGGATATGACAGGGAAAGGGATTTTCTTCGAGTACTGGGCAGACTTAGATCCCCGTTCACATCATGAGAGTGGACAATGTGAGTATTGGGCAATGGTCCAAACAAACGTGAACGCCAGCCATGCTCGAGCAGAACATGGCTAAAGCTGTCACTCGTCGCCAGCCATGCAGCATTTCCCAGCCCACACGACCCGGTGCCTGGTTCTTTCGCCTTTTGGAGATAGGCCGTGCTTGCCTCCAGTCTTGCTGAGCACTGGTCACAAGGCAAATTGGTTGAATCTATGCGACCTAGCATGAAATTAAGCAAATTAGCAGCATACCCATGTCCACAAAAGGAGAACACGGTTTCCATGGCTAAATGCTGGAGTCCAATAAAGCCAAATCGGACTGGGGAACCTGGCATTAATTGATCATGGCCCCCTTGTGTGAACTTGGACAGAGCTTGGGTCAAGGAAGCCCTTTGATATCTTTAACATTATTCAATATTCTTTGCATAGCCTGTTTGCTTAGCGGTTGGGTCGCTTCACACCCAAGACACATAACAGAATACAATAAGTAACATTCACCATAAGCCAAGGCCAAGGCCTGTACGGGATATCGATACAGCAAATGCTACGCTTACTCCGACGCCCCTTGCAGCCCCGACAAAGTCTTTGTTGTTCGGCAAGCTGGGGCCGTCAGAAGACCTTGGATTTTGCTCTGCCGAAGATGGTTGGGAAGAGCTGGAGTTCGCTTTCAGCTGCCGTGACTACTTTAGGTGGCTTCAGATCCTGTCTACAAGTCAATCTGCACTAAACAACCTGCTACAAACCGCTTCGACAATTCCACCGCTGCCAAATATCTGCGGAACCTTTGATGTAAAACGCTGGGGCCCTGGCGCATAGACGGAAGAAGATGCCCATGGGCTTGGATCATTCCCCTTAGATTCACAAGACCAGCTGCCCTCAAAGCTGGCTGGCATGTTCGAACGCCATATCCAAAGAAGTATCAATTAATGAAACAAACATGAAAGCTCATAGAACCACTCAAACAACATGTTTTCTCCAATTTCCTCTGGCAGGCAATTCAAAACTGATGTTTGATAAAATCAACTACTGTAGGATATTGCAAACCAACTTTGTCACTTTGGATGCAAAGAAAGCACTTGGAACTCCTGGATCCTCACGCCCCTTTTCTAGATTCTAGTCATTCAACCTCCACAGTATGGACATTGGCCGTCAATACTGGAGATGCACTACAGAGTCCAAAGAAAGTCATTTAAAGAGACATGATCATGTCTGAAAAAGAGCATGTCAAATCAGTCAAATGCAGCACACTCTAGGAGCAGTTGACATCAAGATGAAACAACTCTGCGGTGTACAGGATACGTCCATCAATGGACATGATCTCTTGTGCAAGCGGACTCCAACATATCAACAGTCAAGTTGCCGGTTGCCGCCGTTGCCCATAGATGCTCAAAGCTGCGCGCCCAGCGGCTTCAAACTCTTCCTTAGGCACCGGCTCGCATTCTTGACTACAAGTACTTCGGTCCAACTCGGAAATCTGGCAAATCAACGTTTTGAAACTTGTGAACGCCAATAGGCAATGAACAGGCAATGACATCCCTTTGACGGGGCTACTTGCGCCAAGTTTGTGTTTGCAGTTGCTGTTGCTATTGTAGAGCCAGTGCCGGCTCTCAGGGGTATATAGTTTGAAGCTTTTGATGGGATAAAGAGCCAGTCGTTTTCTGCGGCACAGCACGCAGAAAAGTGGCGTCCTGAATAGAAGTATTGTGCATTGCCCCAATTGTCTCACGGACTCCACCTTGATGCAAACCAAGTAGCTAGTGGAGTGATGGACTCCTGGCAGTGTGGACTTGGCGCACTTTTAGTGTCCAAAGAGAGGACTTGGCGTGTTGCCTTTGGGAGGTTGTGTAGAGTAGTAAGGTCGGACAATTAGAAGCCAATCCTGGGACGTCACTAAACACTGCTCTCAACACCCTGTCTGGTCATGACTCCAAAGAAAGGCTCGTCATCTATATACATTTGCATTGGGCTATACACCCGTGTACCTGGAAGATGCTACAGCTGCGCTCCACCAAATACCGGGAACAAACCAACGGAACAAACACTCCGACCCCAAAGGGAATTCAAGATATCGAGTTCCACATGGTCGCTGATTTCCTCTACAGGGCCGTGGCCAAACACTTTCAGTCCAAGTGAATGTATACCGTCTGAAATCCGATGCTTATAGGCCCTATTGGAGAAAAAGGGAAAGAAAGGGACAACGGATCCAAACCTTTGAACAAGCAAAAACACATGACCTCAAAACCATATATATATATATAACTCTTGAAACACAAACAAAGGCTGCGAACCGAACCCGAATCCGGTATTCGTTGTTCTTGATCGCTTTCCGGCCTCTTTGGCTTGGACCTTGGGCACCCCGAAGCGCCGAGAGATCACGGCCACCTCAACCGAGCCGAGGTCCCACGAGGTCCCACACCGGTCGTGTGCCAGGCGGGGGTTGCGCTTGCTGCAGAAATATCAGACTGCCAATTGCAACACACATCAAAAAAACATGTTTGGTCTCCTGTTTGGTCTCCAGAGAGAATTGCTGGATGCTGTCTGTGCAGTCTTTTTTGCAGGTGTTCGCATCTCCGAGATTGTCCCAGGGTGTAAAAAAGCGACGAGTGTCTTGATGCTAGCAATCTCCAGGCACCTTGGAAGAAACCAATCTGGTGAAATGTCATGTATGAGGTGAAAGCAAGGAAGAAGAAAAGGAACACACACACACACAAAAACCGGTTCACAAGGCAAACGGCAAACGGCAAACATGTCAGCATTCAATATACGCAACAGAACCCATGTAGGATCATCCATGCAGGATCATGCAAGTGCCTTTGCGGTTCAACGGTTCAACTAAACACTGGTTTGGCCAAAAGCTAAGCTACCATTAAGAAGCAAAATAGAATGCAAGCTGGGTTGGCGGCCCTGGCAAAGCTTCTGCTAAGCTTATCATTCTTGTCTAGCAGATGCAAGAATTGAGAGAAAGAGTCAAAGGTTCTCTGGCAATGACGGAACACTTATTCTCGTGGGAACGTCGTGAATGAGAGCTCTGACGTTCCACAAAGCCGGCGACAAAGCCAGCTCTCATGCGGAGACTTTCCCAGCACTCATGGACGTCCCATGATTGCAGGTCTCCCCACGAGCATCTTGAGATATCTTGAGGCACCCATTACATTGACCGCATTTCACCGCACGCGTGCACTCCGCATTCCGCCTCGGCTAGTGCTTCATCCAGGCGGTGTTGCACAGCCTGCAAACTCGAGGATACTTTTGCCAACCAGCAACCCAGCACTCTGCTTTGAGATCTGCTTTCAGCCAAACAAACGAATGACATTGAATGAATGACCACATCTGTTTCTGTTGCGTATGGTAGTATGCCCGACTACACCAGTGTGTTGAAACTTGAAGGCCCTCGACCTAAGAGACTTGGACCATTGAGACTTGGACCGTCGGTGTCTATAACTCACGTGCTCCACGTCAGCTGCGCATACACATACACACGCATAACGCCCCGCAAAACGCCCCGCTGTATAACCTTTTCGGGGGAGCTTCAAAACCTGCCCAGTCCAGCCATGATTGTTTTTGTTGCGAAACAAGCAACATTAGAGATATTCCCCTGAACGCTCATGGGACACATCCAAGATCATCCAAGGAAGTTCTGGTCGAGTCAAGCCACTAGGCATGTCAAAGCTTGTTAAAGCTGTGGAAGGGCCATGGTGTGCCCCAATCCATCCTGACTTATGGAGTGCCAATCTCACCTGCTTCTGGAACTGCTCCTTGGAATTCTCGGTGTGCAAGACCTGAAGAATGGATTCCGTATACCTAAATGAGCTTAAGAGACTCACAAGCTCCAGGAATCAATATGGGTCAACCATAATTTGTCGTCTTGTGGAACAGCCACGAAACGGTCTTCTCAGCATCTATTGTCATGGTTCATCTTAGCTTTTGGGAGCACACGTGTCTGCAGAGCCCACTTATGGTCAAGAGCTCCTCCTGGCTCTTGATTAATGGCATGTCAAGGGTCCCTCCCTTCCCATCCTCCACACAGTTCTCCACGTAACGTCGTCCTGGCTCGCCCTCCCGGGTCCAAACCCAAGAGGCCCAAAGGTGCAGCAGTAGCTTCAAGGTCCAAGGCCTTGGATCTTGACACCTCAGGCGACAGTCTCCCACCGCGACGCGACAGTCTCTGGGCGCCCCAGGGCGCCCTTTGGGTGTCTCCCTCTGTGGGGTGAAGTGAAGTCTATTTGGGTGGAATGCCTCTGGCTGTTGGAGAAGAAGGTAGAGGGAGACACTTGAACAATTAGTCAGGTTCATTTCAGGAAATGGCTGATCAATCTCACAGCGACATCGGCGACATCTCACCAAATGTAAAGTATCATCATAGTACATATGATCATCAACCAGTTGCGACTTCGAAGTCGCAACACAGCAGCTTCTCACCTTGGCCTTCGCACCTTCTCTCAAGGATCGCGATCGTCCGATTGGACACATGATCCTCGGTCGAAGAAGAGGTCACCAAGGATCGCAGCTGAGACGACAAACTTCAAAGAGCGGATTTGGATCGGAGCTACCAATCTCTGATTTTGATTGCTACCTCTTGTGACTTATCACCAATCTGCGGTCTTCTTGGTCTTCTTGGTCTTCTTAGTCTTCAGCCGATGACGTGGTTGGGCGAGACCCTTGGCTCTCACAACACCCTTCAAGGCCAAACTGAAAAGGTCAGGACGCCCAACCATCGTACGCTTAGCATCCGTGAACATGCTCTGGAGCTCCTGGAGCAAACGAGCAACAACCCGGTAGATATTTGATAGGCCTGCAACAATGTGTGAGGTTTACTCTTCAGTTCGAAGTGGGACATGGTTAAAGGTTAAAGCTCCTGAATTCAAGGCTAAGTTCTTTTATGTTCTTTCATTTGAGGTTAGCCACCAGTATCAGAGAGCTTCCAACGTCTGAGACACGGGGGTGACGCTCATGGCGAGGACGAGACGTCATGGTCGGTTATCCTAGTCAAGGGGTTGGCCTCAAGAAGGGAATCTGTTCACTTCCCACGTCTCACGGATTCTTGGAAAAATCGATCAAACATGCACCACTGATAGAATCAAAACACCTGAACATCTTGCCATTAAATCTTCAACTCCCTTCAACTGCCACTCAAAGCCTTGCTACTCATGAGTAGTGACTGACTTCCTACTGACGCCTGTGAATAAGTCACGTACTACGGTATACCATGGCTTGTGCATGTGCTCGTTGATGAGTCGAGTTGATGTGTGGTGGCACCCACAGTCAGCCACCAAGGTTAAACACCACTGTCGCTGGCTCCGTGCGCTGGCCCCCCCTTCCAGTGAGCATCACTCCTCTTCCTTTCGTTGGCTCCGTGCTTTGTGCTGGGCGCGGAGGATCGAAGAAGCGGGTTGATCGTGGTCAACGCAGTCAACGCAGAGAGCTTCTAGCTTGAGAGCTGCTTGATTCAGTTGGACCCTGTACAGCACGTGTGAGAAAGAATAAAAGACCACGCCGTGTCCAATGTGGAACAAACAGCTGGATCTCTCTGCCCATTCCATTTCAATGCTTCACCAGTGCTGAACATTTGACTGTATTGGATTGTTTGGTTGGGTACAAGAGGGGCGACAATTGAGTACAAAGTAGGGAAATATCCAGAGATCAGCGAGGCACAAAACGCTCTCCACTGGTTCGTGGCAACATCCACAGGCAGTGGATGTATCCAGGATACAACAAGGCCAAGCAAATGGCAAACCTGTTGCTCAAGAAAGCTTATCGCGTTTCACGGGTGGCGTTCAGACATGACATGGGGGTTTGTTAAGAGGGCACGGTGAACAATTTGCAATCCCATAAACCAAGACACAATAAATAAATGAGCACATATTCCTTGAACCAAAGTGACCAAGAATGAATGGTCATGGCTGGCCGTGGTGTATCTCAAAACATCTCAAAACAAGGAGCCCCCACCAGCCACACCCCCTGCAAATTATAGAAAATACAGTAAATGAGTCGACCCCATCTCCTGCTGTGGCTTCTTGTTACTAGTAGTAATGCCAGGCGCTACTAGTAGCTTCTTGCTCCTAGTAGCGATGCCCTTTGCTCCTAGTAGCTTCTTGTTACTAGTAGTAAGGCCAGGAGCTACGTTCGTGGCGTCCTTGCTCCAGGTATCTTCCAGCACCTCCATGCCCCCCCGTGAATTCGGTCCAACCCCCCCAATGGAGGTATGCCGAGGTGCTCTCCCCATGACAATGCACCGCATGAGTGCGTCGAAGGTCCCTGAGCCGAAGCATCTGGCTGCATGTTTCTGTGCGAATTTCTCTCTACGCATGTTTCAGACCAAACAAATGGAACGAAAACATGACGACTTGTCGGTGAACAGGAACTCAAACCACACCATGGGGAAGCTTTGGCACACGTTGCATCCTTTTCTTCTGAAAAGTGAAGTCGTCTTCCAAAATTCTCCACTGGAAAGCTTATTCTACACATGCCAGAGCCCTTGGAGAGGTTAACATGATCTCAAACTGAGTCCTAAAGTGGTCTGTTCAAATGTGTTTCGAGGTGCTTCTTGGGGCCTCAGACTTGGTCCTGGCACTATATTCAACTATGGCCCTGGCACCGGAGGAGGAGTGTCGCTTGGTTTCGCAGCTTCTCCTGACAGGCTGAGCATCTTCTACTTCAGACCTGTGGAGAAGGGCCATGCCGAACATCAGAACACAGATCATTTCATTTGGAGGTGCATGTCGAATGCGAATGATCATCTAACTCCATGTTGCTCCCCAATATAAACCCTCTAGCAGCTGCAGTGCCACCAGCACCAACACCTCCCCAGCACTTCTTCTGCAACAAAATCACATTGGTGAGGACTTGCGAGCATGACATAGCACAACTTGGCGGCCGTTTCCCCCTGCTGCCGCCCAAACAAGAGATCAAGAGAAGGTGTTTGCTTGTTCCACGGCGCTTGGAAGGTCCATAGTCTTGTCCGGCCAAATTCTAGAACCGCACCAAGAAGCCTCCCCTTAAAAAGGACTCAATCCAACGAATCCTTATGATGCCCCTTTGTAGAACTCAGTGGAACTCATCGGAATCTTCTGGTGACCAACATCAGTTCTTGTCACCCCATCGGCATCTCAGCCTTCACCACAACATCCTCAGTCTCAGGGAAGGCAAAGGGTCACGCTCCGGTGTGGTGAAAAATCAACTTTTGGTTACCGCCGCAATGTTGCAGGCAGTTGGTGAGGATGCGAAAAAGAGATGATTGATGATGATTGCTAGAAGTGCCGGTGCCGCCCCTTCCTCAGGATTCATAGACCACTTTGATGGGGTTCGTGGTTCGTTGGCCTGTGCCTCTAAAAATCATTTTTCAACTCAACTGGCATGGTGCTGTCATAGGTTGCTCCGCAATCCACCATGCATCAGTTGCAGAAGTTGCAGTAGCGTGGCAGGAATCGCGTCACCAACAATCGGATCAAGTCTTTCTGGATCTTGCAACAGCTACCCGACGGACGCTACGAGTTCGGGGCTCCTGGCCTGACCTACGAACGGAACAAGAGGACGCTACCGAGAACGGAGCGATCGGACGCTACCGAACGCAGCAACAACCGACCTGCAGCAAATCTCAAAGAAAACGGAGGGGGGCGGAGAGGCAGAGCGGTGTGGGTACGAGTCACGTTAAAACATCCGTTTTCAAACGAAACATCCCACGAAAATAACACAGACACACATATATAGTAACTGAAGACGTAAGGACATTGTTCACTGATGCAATGATTCAATGGTTTGAGTTTGTTTGATTGACACCCTACCCACTTCTACCGACCGGTGCCCTCACAGTGCGTTGTCGCAGCTTTGATGGTTGCTGGGACGTCCAACTCGGAAGAAGACGATCCGCTGGTCCATCAAGTCATGCTCCTGCTAAGCTAGGCGTTCGGGGGATGTGGCAGAGTTCCCCAAAGGGCATCGCGTGACATCATGTGAAGATAAGTAGCGTCCGATCGCTCCTAGCAGAAAGGCCAGGAGCCCCACTAGTAGCGTCCTTGCTCCTAGTAGTAAGGCCAGGAGCCCTAGGGGTTGGGAAGCACTTTCGGGGGGACAGGCGGTTGCTGTGGGCTCGTTGGCGAGTACAAGACCATTGTTCGGAAGATCGTGCTGAGATGGCTCGTTGGCGATGATCAAACACATCAAAGGACCCCACACCCGCTTCGCAGGTTGTCTACAGGTTGATTCTTCCACCAATCGTGGGGATCTCCAAATAGTCGGTGCACAGAATTGAAAGACACCCCAAAATGGATCTGCATTGCCAAATACATCGTGGCTAGGTGGTGAGAATGAGCGGAGCATGGCATGCATGGGGGGGATCTGAGGGAAACAATTGTTCTGTTCTGACACCTGGATCAGTCGCAAGAACCTGGACCTGGTCTGTGTCTGGGATATGCTCCAGTGTATCAAAGGGTCTTGGAGATTCCGATTCTCCACCACATGAATTCTTTGGATGACTCAATCCTCGGCTTCTGATTTCTGACGCCTTTAAGCAGCCCCTACTCATCACAGAACATCTCCTGCTCAAAGCGATGATGCAAAGCAACGGCCACCTTGAGCGGGCCAAAGGCAGCCAATACGTTCACATACATTAACCATATACATGAACCATGCCCCGGTTTAGGTCTGAGTCTCTCACCAAAGTTTCTTTCTCTTTCCACTTATATACTTGATCACTTGATCTCCAGAACTCTTTCGACCGCTGTGTCGGTCTGCGACGGCCAACAGCTCTACCGCAGGGCTTCCAGGCGCGGTCTTGTCGCAGGTCGTAGGCCGCCGATCTCCAGGCCGACCAAATGGTGGCCTCGGCGCGAACCCGGCGGTGTGTCTGCCAACGTCCTTCAACTCAGCTTAACGTCTCAAGTGACTCAAGAAACTCTTAAAATTGACCTCATTGAACTTCAAACAACTCTTAAAATCCGACCTCCAACTTCAAATTCAGCCAACTTCGGAGGGTCTTTCAGGTCTCTTCGCCGCTCCAGAATGGTTATCAAACTGTGGCCTCATACGATGTTGGACATGACTTGGCTTCCACAAATGGATACCAAAGGACGCATGTGAGATTCCTCACCTTTCGGAAGGATTTCTCATCCAATCACCTTTTCTTCAGACCTAACAATAGGCAAACGGGCCATTTGAAGCCTTCCTGCCGTTTGAGTCGGCCCCACACACCGGAGTCGGCGGCTGGCATTCTGGTGGAAGGCCGCCTTACCTGCCAGCGAAGCGGAGCTGGCTTTGTGGAGTGAGGTCCCCACTCGTTAAGTAGGAAGTAGACAGGAAGTAGAACCCCCATCAACCAATGAGATAAGACAACAGTAGTGGATGGAGGTGGCGGATGGAGAAATCTATTCCTGCAACAGACTGAACTCCGACCGCACATGCGATTCCACACAAACACTTCCAAATGATCTTTACACCAGCGATTCCTGAAGAACACTGAAGATGTTCTCCTCAAATGGGCGTGTGACTTGTTTTGACAGTGATGCTAATGGCTGTGGAGTTGGCCGTCAGACTGGGCTCCACACATAACGCGGCTGGCGTCAGCAGGCTGAGCTCCTCTGTGAGTGTTGAGAGAGCTCCGCAGTGGGTTGGTGGAGGCCTACAAATTATCTGTATCTAACAAGCACCGGTGTAGAACATTTGGCCACTCAACATCCGGATTGAAGAAACATGCAGAAACAAACACAAACCACATTAACTAAGTAAAGCAACAAAATATCAAAAAAAACAAGGATCAACAACTACTGACCCCTCAAAGCAAATACAATAACAACATCTCGAATCGTTTTGGTGTTGAGCTGTTTCATTTGGTGCTTTCTCGATGTTATTGCTTTCAAACATGTTTACAATATCATGCTTTCAAACATGTTCAAACCAGCAAAGGCTTTGAACACCTAGGTAGGTCTCGCCCCTCTATGCTCGCTCCTCGCGATGCGATCCGTCAGGTGGGGCATCTTCCTAGCAGAACGTCGAAGAGAAGTATATAGACCGACACAAAGAAATGGCTGCCCACCAGGAAAACAGCAATCGAGCCAATATGACATAGACAACACCTATCAGATTCTCTACCGTCCCCAAAATAAAACACATCTGGAATCTAGCCTTTGGTCTCCGGAAAGAACATCGATGAACACCTGGTTCACCTCCATTGCCCCGTCCCGCACTCACCTCGTTCAGCAGGGTGCCAGGGCGCCGTTGGCCCTTCACGAAGCGCCGGTAGCCTGGTTCATCCAGCGAGCCAAGTCCAGGCTCTGAGGTGTCTGTCGCATCGAAAGTTGAAACAGTTGAAAGATCTGGGAGGATGTCAGAATGATAGGATGTCGACTTTCCAGGGATGGTTTGCATAGGTGTGTGGGCCTGTGGCACGGCTTGTGGTGCTGCTACTGCTCTTGTTTTTGTTGGACGTAGGAGGGATGCAGGCTTGGCGATGCTTGGTTAGACGTGTCTAGTTCTTCCTTGAAGACACCTTAACCGTGCAACAAAGCGATCTGGAGATCTGGCAGCAAACTCAACCATCCACCCATAGGACTACCAACCTTGCTGTTTTTTCAGCTTCTGCAGAAAGCAGGAGCTTGCGATGTAAGGAGCAAATCAAGGCGCCATCTTCCTGTGGTGACATTCCAATCCAAGCTGCTAAAGAAGCAGTAGAGCAGCAAACCATGATTCCTCGGCCGTCGACAGCTCAGGCGAAAGGACGCCATGACGAACCCCTGCTGAACATCTGCGATTGGCTTGTTTGAAAGCTGCTGTTGACTGCTTGAGGTGGTCCTTGTAGTCCATCCACGTCAACCAGTTGATGGCACACATGTTCAATGTACCCATACCCATACGTCACCAAACAAATGCAGGAAGATCCAAGCAGATGTAGCCGCCATGAACCGGGGGGAGCTTCCAATCACTTCATCTGGGCTAGTCTTGAACTGCTTTTAGTTCCAGAATCTTACCGGACAAATGACATCAAATCACAAAACACAGGTTGCCATTGCATTTCAATCAGTTGATTGGCCGAAGTCCAGTCCCTTACGGTCCAAAGGACTCAACAGTTTTACTTCCCCAGTGTGCCACCTTTATCCAAAGCTGAGTGCTCTTGTATCCATAAATGTTGTTCTAGCCCTTCAATCATCCTCAACAAGGAAGTCACAGGGACCCCAAGTGGCGCATAGTGGCGCCTCGCCCTCACCTTTCAATTCATAAAAACGCGCCACGTGCATCGCACTGGTGCGACGATCCTCGACAGATGCTGTGGTTTCTCGGTCCATCCGACGTATCGACTCCTGTTGCTTCGAGCTTCGCTTGCCTCTCCAGTTCCTTCGCCGCCCACTGCGCCATCCGCTCCCGCGACCGGGCGAAGGCGCACTTCCGCCTGAAATGGCGTGTGTGTGTGTGTGCGCGGCCCGACTTTCAGGGTGGAGGTTCACATTGGATGATCCTAATCAATAAATACCCATCTGGCAGGGCCAAGGAAAATCCAGATGCAATCAAGTAACATGCTAGTGCAATCTGACTTAGCTTGGAAAACGCGTGGCACAAAGCAACCATTCAACCCACCACTCACAATCTTCTCCGAGGCTCACATATCCCAAAAATTACATTCTACCTTTTGAACTAGTTCAGAATACCTGAGTTCTAGCTCACTACTCCTTGAGGATCTCACCTCGCGAAAAGCTTCAAACCAGGGTGACCTCGAAAAACCTCTTCTGCTTCCACATCATTTGGTCATCGCACACGGCCAACATAGAAAAAGGCAGGCGAGACCCGACCCGTTGAACCAGCTGCTGCGCAGCCAAGTGATCCACCCCTCTCCCAGATGGCCAGATGGGATGCGGTCAGGGCACCAGGCAGAGAGGCATTTCAAGGCTGCCTGCTCACCAATTAGAAGGCTCTGTCGCCGGGCCGACCAGTTGGCCAGCGATCGGCAACGCCTGAGGTGATGGAGAGTCTCTTCAAATTGAAATCTTTTGAAAAAAATGGATTCGATCATTCTTCATACCAGCTTCTTGTTACTAGCGATGGCCTCCACCATCCTCCACCTAGTAGCTTCTTGTTTAGGAGAGTGTCTGAAGACATGGCGAACGTTTGGCAAACTTGAGGTTCTCAAGCGGCGTCCTTTCATGTTTCACAGGAAACCCTTCCATTGTCACCAAGATGCTCCTTCCCATCCCTTCCCTCATCCCTTTGTCTTGCTTTCAGATAAATCGCTTCAAATGGTCTTCTTGAAGCAAGATGGCTGAAGACCTGGGGCGGTCAGGTCAAGAAAGTGGCAAACCGCAAAGACGATCTGAAAAAAGGCCAAGGCAACTGCCGCTTCTTTTCAACGGCCATAGATATGAGTTTCTACAGTAAGTCTTGCAAAATCCTTTCCACCGGCAACTTCTAGGTCCAGTCACTGCAGGAATGCTTGAAACGGCAAACATCACACCCTTCCAGGTCGAAGAACTCATTTCTTTGGAGTTGGTCATGCAAAAAAAACCGACTGGCAAGGAGGTAAAAGAATGGGTTTTACATGGTTTTACTGGGTCAGACTGGACTTGTAGAGAAAGCTCGAACGAGTCCTCGAAACGTAACTGAACAGTTGCATGTCAAGTGACCCACAGGTTCCCACCTACCAGACCGCAAACCTGTGACCGCAAACCATGCAATAGCCAAAGTTCAGGCATTGCTTCTGATCCGTTTTGGCATCAAAACAGGGCAGTTTGTCTTGGGTGCTGTGTAACAAACACAGTGCATAGCGCAAATTCTTACCATGATAATCAAGGAGACATCACGGCATTGCTTTCCACTGACCACGAATCTCACACAAATCTCTGCTCAAGTCGCTGATCCACCACCGGCGACTCCTGAGAAGACGCAGTCGAAGCTGGTGAACATGCGCACTGGAACCAGCCTTTTCAGGTGTGTTGACCCATGCAGTGCAACGGCATCGGCGACTCTGGCCAGATCCGCGCTTCCAGATGCACGGGATTCTGAAAAGAAACGCTCAATGTAGGCCATGTGAGATCCCTGCTATGATTCTATACCTAAGCCAGAAACAGGCAATGTCTCAAAGGGAGGAGCACCAACCTCCCATGACCCACGAAACCATGGCGGCAGATCTCCTTGTCCGCTGACCTCAGTGGCCGTGCGGCACAGATGTTGAACCGTTGTAACAAGGTTCGCTACGAACGGGGCTCCTGGCATCGCTACGAACGGAGCAAGGACGCTACGAACGGGGCTCCAGAGAAAACTCTTGCGAAACCCTCAAGAGCACCAAGTAGGTGGGGATTCTTTCTGCTTTTGATGTGGTTTTGATGTATGGTGTAGAGTTGTTCAATAGGGTGGGTGGTATGGTCTTGGAGGCTTGTCCCCATACTCGGCGAAGCCACGGGTCCTCGAAAGGCCTATCATATCTAGAGGATCCAATCCACTAGCTAGAACAGTAGAAGAGGACCTCTGCTGATGCATACAGACCTCATCAGTGTCAGACCTCACACCCACGCCGATCAAAATCCATCGAACCCATTTTTTTTGTCCGCCATGGAATTTGGTTGACATTCGTTCTACCCCACGAATCCTTGGACCCGACACCGTTTCCAGAAGGTGGGAGAATTCCACCAACTAGTAGCGTCCTTGTTACTAGTAGCCTTGCCAGGGGCCCCGTTCGTAGCGTCCGATAGCTCCAGTAGTAAGGCCAGGAGCCCCGTTTGTAGCTTCTTAATTGTTACTAGTAGTAATGCCAGGAGCAGTAGCGTCCGATCGCTCCGTTCGGTTCGCGATGCCCTTAACTCCTCACAGCTCCAATTCCAAACCACCACGAAAAGGGGACTCAAGGTTCATGAGCTCCCCAAGTTTGGACCATCCGACCATCCGAGTTGGCAAGCTGCTCAGGTTTGTGCCGACCCTGGTGGCCGGTGCGCTTGCAGTTTTCTGGTCTGGTGTGCAGACTCTTAGGTTCCAAAGACTTGCATCCAATGTCAATTCGCTCACAAAGCACACAAAGCACAGCCAACTGCAAACTGTCACAGGACCTTATCATGACGTTCTATTTTAAAGCGGATCGCAACAAGTGCTCGGTGTTCTACCCTTGCCACCAGCATTCGCCTACCGCCACGCCACACCGCGCCTGTCGTTGCAGCAACGCGTGGCGTGACCACACTGACAAACAATAGCGGGCATGGGCATAGGCGGTCTCCTCAAGGGAGTGACACAAAGGAAGAACGGTCTAATATAGCCATTATAAAGGTTGGAGGCCATCGCTATTGGTAACAAGGTCATCGCTAGTAGCAAGAACGCTACGAACGTAGCTCCTGGCATTTCTATTGGCAAGGACGCTTCGAACGGTTGGAGGCCATCGCTCTTAACGTCACGGTGCGGATCGGGTCGTGGCCGACCGACGGCGAATGGTTCGCCCTGACCCCCCCCCTTTGGTGCGGCAAGCCGCACGGATTACGTTCGACTCTTTTATCACTTATATCAGCTGAAAATGAAGCAAAGCTGTGGGAACTTGTTGGTGGTAATATGTGTACTGTGTCCTATGTAGGCCCTGTAGGCCCTGTAGGGCTTTGGCTGCCTCACTGCGGATGTGAGCACGACTGTGAAGAGTTCACCTCTGAGCCTCCCCTGTCCTGTGCCAAGTGAGTGGCTATCCAGATCACCACGCGCAGTTTTTCTTGCCTCGTCAGTTGGCATCACAATAGTGCCCGGGATAGAAACTGACAGCCGCATCCGGCCAACTTGAATTTGCAAACAGAATAGGGCAGTAATGGGCCATGGGCAGTAACAAAGGGCATCGCTACTAGGAGCAAGAAGCTGGTGGAGGCCATCGCTACTAGTATCAGTAACAAGAAGCTACTAGGAAACGTGGATGCTCAAGCTTTCAACTCCGCCTGCAATGTTTCTAGAAACTGGGCCAACAACTGACCATGTGTTTGCAAGAACATACCCATCGCACATCTTGCTCGACTGTTGGAGTGTCTCCAGCATGAGTTACGACAGTTACGAGAAGTAGCACCACATGCTAGAGAGCCTTTCGAGATCCCCAGTCACTCCCAAACACGCCAAACAAACATCTCCTGAACACCAAACACGCTGAAAGAGCTCACCACTGAAAGAGCTCCGGCGCCGATCCCGCCGGAGTCTCCACGGCTCCGCAACGCTCCGCAACGGCGCGGCACCTGCCCGCGAGGATCTGTGCCAAGCCTGAGGCCTGCTGGATGGCCGTCCTCGGCCCAGGTGTTCGGCCAGAGGTGTGAAGAAAGCACTAAAGCACGTGTTTTTCTTGGTTATTTTCCGGCACCAAAGAGAGCTTATAGATGGTACTGACCTGAACCATGATCAGTTTCGAAGTGCCATGTCGATCAAAAAAAAAGAATCCATGGATATCCATGGATCACCTTCCGCTGCGCCGGTCTGGCATTTGTGTGCTCCGCTGGACCCCCCTCAAAATATCCCCTGGACACTTCTCCAAGCAAGGCTCTTGTCAGTCATCATTCGACCTGCCAGCTGCTTCTGGAGGGTGGAGGCTCGATCCTCAGGGGCCCCAAAAGGAGCGGAGGCTGAGGGGACCCTGATTGAGTGGCTCAAGCACAAAAATGCCAAGCTCAGGCTCGCCTTTCAATCTCAACTCACTTTCTTCCCAGATGTGGCAGTGGTTTGCAAACCAATCCCCCAAAGGCTCAAGGTCAAGCACGGACAGAGCAGGTTCTGCCTCTTGTGGACCTAAAGTTCAAGCGTTTGAACTCCTTGTGCACGAGATATGTCTATGGCCCCACAACCCCAGAACCACAGGTGTTGGACATGAACATGGAAGTGAACAGCTACAGTGCTAATAGATTTAATAGATGCTTATGGGGTTCACACAACTTTGTCGCCTGTAGAACTGTTCATAGAATTGGGTGACAAAACACGTTCCGAGACAACTTTCTCATAAGCAGAGTCTTGGTACTCAGCTGAATATGTTGAATAGGATTGATTGTTTTGATCCGACCATTCGGTATGCCATTCACGACCCCGTACGACACCGCGACGTCCACCATGTCCCACATCGCTCCATCCGCCAAGCGTCTTCAGAGGCTTGTAAGGCCTCAGCTCAGGGAGTTCACAAAAACAAGGCAATCACGACAGCCTCGCGATGGAAATCCACCGACAGTCCACCGACGAAAGCACGAAAAAAAACGGCACCAAAGGAGAGGAGAATGCACAAAGGAATATCTGCATGTTGGTCTAACCACCGTGCCATCTCTCTTGGAATCGAAATCGCTCGACTCGACCTCGACGCATGGCACTCTGTGAAGAAATAGTTGGGGATGATATCCTTGACATCCACATTCGAAGTCAGAATTGTCCAGGCCAGGATTGTTACCTTCCAACCTTCCCCCGGCTTCCACAAAGAACCGAAGAATTTTCCCCACCCAACTTAACTTGCTGTTTCTTAAGATTCCAACACCTACCGAGTTCCAACTACTAGTAGTACAAAATCCCAAGCGACCGCACAGTGTTTTTCTTACCACAAGCACGAAGTCATGCTAGAGTCCTAGTAGAACTCTTCTTCTCCTCACACACTCCAGGAACACTCTTTCGTCACCCCATCGCCAAGTGCAGTCGTTTGACCCGGCGGAGCTTTTGGTTGTCTCCCTTGATGGTCTCCATCGCCTCCTTTGGCTGAGAGAACGAGGAGATTGACTTGCCCGACATCGCCTGAGCATCCCTGGTGAACCCCCTGAAGAAGTTTCAACATATTGCCTTGGGACTTGCAATAGCAACGTTGAAGGAACCCCATTCTTGATTCAAGATCGAGCTCGAGCATAGTATTCAGATGTATTTATTTATATAGTAATGACCGGCCTATGATATCGTTTACATCAGGCACAACCGTCCAGTGTTGACAAGGTCCTGCTGTTGCCATGTTAACGTCGCAAGAAAACCTCGCACTTCCGATCGCCTTGAGGAGTTGCATCTCATCTTCGTCCATCGCGGTAGAGAAATGTGTCGGATTGACGGTCTCTGCACTTTCCAAAACCTGCGGTGCACGTCCTCTCTGCGTGCGCTCTCGGCGTCCTCTCTGTGTGCATGAAATGCGTCCCACCCGTGCGTCGCTTTTGGAAATCCTTCCTGGGACGCTGCCTCCAGTGGCTAGCTCGTCTGCGAGCATAGTGCCTTTGGCAGCTGCCGCAGGACAAGCACCATTGCACCAAGGCAAGATATGTGTTGTTGAGGCCACCGCTAGTAGGTTGGAGGCCATCGTTAGTAGGTTGGAGGCCGTCGCTAGTAGGTTGAAAGTTGTCGGCTGTTGTTGGCTGCTTGGTGTGGGAATGGCCCCAAGAACAAACAAGGCTGCCGGGCACCTTATGATCCTTATGCAACTTTCGAGAGGGCGAGGGCATCAAATTGCAGCAGCACTTCAGCACTTGACATTGAGGAATAGGAACTGAGATTTCTTGTCACGCCCCTTTCTGAAAGGCTATTGTAATTTGCAGTATGAAGGTGCCTCCGCGGAAGCTTGTGTCCTCTCTCCCTGACAGGATGTGCCCAAACCTGATTGCTTTGTCAGTGGCTCATGCTCATGCTGCTTTCGTTTACTGGAACCCAAAGCAGGAGATCAGCATGTGTTTGTCGACCGACTAAAGGAGGAATAGGTGATCCCAATTCTAGGCAAATGACCTCTGTCTATCTTCCATCTATTGCCAGGGATTTGGAAGGGCTCCGGCTTTCTTGCCAACCACACACAAGTGTATCCCTGTCGGGCACATCGTTCTCACCAAATCACAAACGTTCACGTGGTTTTGTCAAACAACTCACTGCATGCAGCAACTATCAATCAGGTCTGAAATGGAAATCCAACTATAGAGAAGCTACATAGAGTGGTACAGCCACAGCCAAATTTGGTGTCAAGAAGGAAGGAAGGAACACCTCGTCTCTTTGACCTTTTCCCAGCAAACTCGTCTGAATCTACAAGCTGCATGGTGCATGTGTATGCATTTGTTCCTTTTTGGGAGGGTCTAGGTTGAATTCATGTACAGCAGGAAATCACGAAGGCAACCTCCACACCTGCTGAACTGGATCAACTGGACAATCAGTGGATTCAGAATCCGTTTGCTGCGGCACCTTTTGACAATCCATTGGCGGCGCGTTGGCATCGCACGGTGAAATGTGTCCGGCCGATGGGTGTTGCGGATGTTACGGATGCACCAAAGTCTTGTCAACCTTACATTGCACGATGTTGCACATATCGTTTCACAATATTCACAGGAGGAAGAGGGGGCTTAACCAATCATAAGCTGTGTGCAATTCTATTCTTTTCTAAAAGCTCCAAACACGACCTGCAAGACCCTGCGGCTCAGGAGCGTTCTTCGTTCACAAACAGCATCGGCAAGGAAAACAACTCCGAAACAAACAACATCGGCGTCCCAAGTACCGCTACAAGTGTGAACAAAATGAACCCCGAGGAAGAACTTCCAACGACCACTTCCAACACTTAAATAATCAAATTTGTAAAAGGCAGGTTCTCTACGACTCTCTGCTTTTTGTGGACTGCTGCCGAGCAGTCATGTCAATGTTATGTTGGAATATATTCTTATTGCAAGTGTGTGTGTGTGTGATCAGTTCAAACGAGTTCAGAAGGGCATAAGATTTGTCGGCATACCTGTAGTCAATGGAGTTGCAAGAGAATCCGTGTCCGACATCTCTTCTCGCAATCACATTCTGTAGGCTTCATGTTTCGATAGGCTGCCATATGCTTTAAAGCTTCCACTTGCCGGCGCGCTTTGAATTCCATGGTTTGAAATGTACAATCGCCATTTAGAACTTTGGGCGAGATCAACGAAATCATGGGCCAGGAGTTGTTTCAATCGCCATAAGTTCTTTCACCTCCAAGATCTCCCAAGCGAATCCAAACAAATTGCACCATTCTCGGTTTAAGACACTCACACAGCGAAGTAGTTCTTTGAGCAACAGGGTGATGCCTTCCTAGTCTATCCAACAGGTCCCATGCAAAGCCAATAAATCTGATAGGCTACACAAACAACCAACACACAAATATGCAGTGCACTGCAATGACAAAATGCTTAACTGCAGGGGATAGAACTGTGAAAAACCAATTTTGGCGATGTCTGCTCTGCAAAGCGCATTGAGATGCATTGAGACTTTGCTGGATGGCCACAGTGCCGACAAAAAAAGGTACACCTGACGACACCTGGTCTGGAGCTTTGGTGCATGTGTGTGCTTTGACATGAGTGAATTCTTGGACCAATCCGGCAAAATCAGAACATCTTGCTGGGGCCGGCGTGACTTCTAAATTATAAGATCTTATATGGACATCGACTGCTTCCAACTATTTCCAACTTCCAAGGAATCAGGACATTCCCACACAACTCCTGGCCTCTGAGCCTATGGCCTATGTACCTCACACTCCCGGCCGACTGGTCCCCGACCCCGCCGGGTGCGGGGGCGGGGGCGCCGGGGGCGCCGGCGGCGCCGCGGCCGTGCGCGAGACGCCTTTGAGGCGCAGGCGTCGAGGGTCGACGCCTGCGGCCTGGGCGGCGGCCTGGAGGAAGCGCTGGGCCTCTTGTTCGCTGAGGTCGTCGCTGAGGTGCAGCTGGATGGACGCTACCTGGAGGGTCGGGTCGTGTCGGGAAGGATCGGTGGCTGGACTGATATAGAACATCCACAAAGACACTTGGGAAACGGGTCATGTTTTTGGAGTGGTTCACCTTCTATACTACGCCAGGATGATTCTAAATGGAATGAAGAATGAAGAGATGGAGTGGTGGTGATAGATGGTGATAGTATGATTCAACTATATAAATACTTCACATATATTTTTGGATGTTTTCCATGTGAATTGTAATATCTTGTAGTACCCCTGATGCAACCAACTCAGCCGTTCTGTCTCATTCCCGCCTGTGGCTTTGGGAGTCGCTGTTCAAGCCAGGGTCCTTTGCCCAAGCCTGGATCGTCGGGTTCACCCAGAGCAGTGTCCGACCAGTCTGACCGGTGCGCAGCCTTTCTGGTGTGCCTTTCTGGTGTCCAACCTCTTCATCTAGTCCCACCGAGGTCGCGTGGCTGCCTTTTTGTGGGGCTCAACTGCAAACATCCATAGTAGCGAGCAAGGATCGGCTCCGTAAGGATTGCTCCGTTCGTAGCGATGCCCTTTGCTCCGAGAGTGTCTTTTGGATCCATCTCTGAACCGCTGAATGGGACCACCTTTTTCCCTTCAAATGGAGCTGAGTGACATGAACAAGGCAGGTAAGCCAACCCACAAGTCAAGAAAGACATGACCATGCAATATCATGCAATCACTTTGTGAAATTTGTGAATAAGAAGCCTGCTTACACACTTCTCGGCCCATCCAAGTCCTTGCGTTCATCAACAGTCCCTTGTCAACCCCGAAACCATCCGCCCCTCCCCGTGCCAGAATCCACACCTGTGCCTGTCAGCGCCACAGGTCCTAGCACCGGTCCCGCTGGCCCCGCGAACGGAGCGACCGGAGCTCGCGGTGCGTCGCTCGGCGCCGCGGCCGGTCGCCGCCGGGACTTGCGGCGCTCGAAGGCGTCGGCGATGCGCTTGGTGTGCTCCTGGAGGGGCGAGGGGCGGGAGTGGCGCCAGTGTCCAGGTGTGTCATCTGTGGAGAGTCTAAGTGGCAACATTCCAAAGTCTACGAAAGAGCTGGTTGACATTTATCATGTGTGTTTTAGTCCATGATCCACCCTCCCTCTTGAACCAACCAACCAGGAAACGCACCTTCCATCCGAGTCCATCATCCGCATCATGCTCATCTCTCCTGACTGCGGTAGCCACGAGCCTTCAAGGAGCGCAGCGCCTCCTCCACCGGCAAATCCCAAAACTCGGCCTCTTCCAGAGCCCGTCGCGTCGATCGCCTCAACGGAGCGTCCAGACGTTCTGTCCGTCGGGCGCCTTTCGCGCGGCCGTTTTCTTCAGACGGGAAGAGGGGAATGCGCGGTGTTTGAACTCAACATCCTTCTATAATTACTGAGGACCAATGACTTAGGACTTGTTGGTACCAATGACATGAGTAGTTGCAGGTAGTATACTCATTTCGATTTTCCTTCCAGCGGTCTGAAGCCAAGGGGCTCCAGCTCCATTCGGTCCTGCTCCGTCTTGGGCCTTGCCAGCTTGGCTGGCACCGGCACTGGCACCGTGGCAGCTGGCTGCGGCTGCGGCTGCGGCCGGGTGCTCGGCTGGGTCGGCTGAAAGACCACGCCTCACCGAGTGAGGGCGGAGAGTGAGGGCCAAGTGCTCATGGCTAGAGGGAGTCGTGGTGATTGGGCTGATTTGAGAGAAGTGTGGCGGCTCACCTTGAGTGGAATTATTGGTTTGATATGACTGGATCCATTTTTGAGTGCATGGATTGTGTGTGTGACGATGGAAAATGCATGAGAATGCTAGAACCTGGGCACATTCTCACATCGCTTCATCAAGACTTACAAAACAAAGGGGTGTTTGACTTTGCTTCTCACTTTCGGGGCTTGCTGGGAAGACGGAAGCAAATGAACCGAAAACAAAAACAGCAAAATTCACAAGTCAGCAAACCAAAAAGATGTGCGCACTTGGCCGGACCCCTCCTGGCCGGACCCCTCCTGGCCGGATTCTCGCCTTGACCGACCTTGGCTTTGAACTCCTTGGCCTTGGAATCCTAGCTTCACGGCTTGTAGCCCGAATGTTGTGGAGGTGTGAGGGCTACAGTCTTGCCATACAGATGTGCCTTACATACATCACATTTCAATTTTTTCGATTTTGCTATAGGCTATAGGCCCATTTCTGATTGCAGCCTCAAACTTCTTGCATTAGACTCACCCAAGTGAAGGCTACAGGGTTGGATCCATGCAAAAAGCAATCATTGCTGACCACTCGTGCTATTACACAAATGAGCAAATGGCATCCTTCAAACAATATTATGAATCGTATAACATACTACATACATATATCATATATATATATAGCAATTATATATAATTATGATCGATAATGATCAATACATTAAAATCCTTCAAGCATTTGACCATATATGACCTTTGTCCACAACCAAGAACCGACTCCCCTACCTACACGGCTGAGTGCGGAGCCTATGGCTCGGTATCCCCACCTTGAAGGCTTCCACAAAGCGTGTGGCCGCTTCATGCCTTGAAGCCGCATCCTCGGAGTCCTTGCAGCGAAGCAGCCGAAGCAGAAAAAGGCCCTGGTGGTGAGCTAAAGAGCTATAGAACTTAACGACATGGACCAACTTAACTACTTAACACTCAAACCAGTTGCAATTGCTTGGATATGACCGTCAAACATCTTGCACAATGTTCTGCTTTTTAATGCTTTTTTTGCGAACCTTCAATGTGTTCAGCATGCATTGAGCCCTCACATCGCGCAAAAAACCAACATGGCATACCAAGCGAGCCATGCCTCGTCTTCCTTGACTCCCTTCGGATCCGCCAGGCACGGCTGCGCAGGGTCCGACTGGCGCGACGGCGCACGGCCCGACCGATCGTCTGGACGTCGTATGGTACGACGTCAGGAAGTTCCCAAACAAGCACGAGAAGGATGCCCAAAACGTACAAACACCAACATACTAGGAGTAGGCAATATGGCCACAAATCTTTGGGAGTTTCAACAGATTTGAACCTCTCCAAACCTGAATTTGAACGGCCCACCAAGCAATCAGCAGCACTCTGGCCTTCTCCCACGCCAGCGATTGCCTCCAGGAATCCTCCACGGCCTCCTTCATCCAGGAATTCCGCCTGTGATGGGCTTCGATCACATGAGGAATGCCAGTGAATGCCCGTGAGCTGGGGTTGAACATGATTGAACACATGGAAAAACATCATTAACGATCACTCACCCACAAAAGCTTCATGGAGAAGAAACTACCAGGTTTTGCTAGAAGATGGCACAGTCCGGTGCTGTTACCTGATGCTGCTCTCGTGAGCGAATCGCTGGAAGAGGTGCCTGGAGGTGGCTGAATCGCGTGACGCCTCAGGGAGCTCATCCTCCACATCCTCGAAGAGGAGAAGCGGCACGTCAGCAAGAGTGATGCTTGTTGCCCATAGCAATTCGTGGAACATATGGTGAGACAATATAGTTCCGGCGTTGCCAGCATTGTTGTTGCCAAAAATGGCGATTCAGCAACTGTGTTCGGATGTGTTCGGGGACTGGTAACGGCTTACTCGCCCCGCTAATGTCTGCACTTCCAACTGCTGGATCGGAACACGTACACGATGGGCCTGGTTTCCACATGGAGAGTCTTGGAACCCAGTCTGCACACTCAGAACAAGTGTCAAACTGCTCCATCAGCGCCCAGTGCTCGGAGTGACCAAGCCGGACTTTGACCACACCAGGAGCGATCGGACGCTACGAACGGGGCTCCCCCAGTCCCTCCGTGGCGCCCAAGCCCGCCAGTCCCTCCGCGCCGAGAGGCCACTTCCTGAGCCCATCGCCGTAGGTCTTCAGTCCACTTCTGCAGATCTGACGCCTCCGGCGAATCCTCCAAGAGGAAGGCCTCTCCTGGGCTCGAACCGGAGAGCGACGTGGAAACGGCTGTAGAAATAGCTCGCTGTGTGAAGAAAAGGTGTTTGAATGGCTGTAGGTTTGAGAGTGCTCTGTTGTGTTGAAACACATGTGTACGATCTTCCACAACCACATGGCAACATGGCAGCAAGAGATTTGATTCAACTTGTCTTACCAAACCAAGATGTGGTCTGTGCATTCGACGTGCACTGCGGAAGTTTACACATCATCAGCTTAGATGCTCCTCGCATGACCTGCTAAACAACAACAACAACAACAACAACAACTACTACTACTACTACAACTACTACAACTACATCTACAACTACAACTACAACTCCTACCAACCATGCCTAAGGTAACCCAAGGTTAACGGATCCCTTGCAGGAAAAACTCCCGAAAGCAGTTGCCACATCTAGCAGCTCCAAAAAGCCTCCGTTCAACGCTTTCACTCTTCAACGGGAACTCACTGGGGAACCCCTGTTCGCTGCATCTGAGGATCTTTCTCGTGGAGTCTGACCCTTGAGGCCTTTGGAGCTTTGCTTGCTTCCTGAGGGCGAGCGGAAGCAAGGCCGCAAAACCGGCAGCTGAAGGCTTCGAAGCCAGTTCTGGACGGAGGGATCCAAGTAGATCTTCCAGCGTGGTGACGAGATCGGAGGAAAAGCTTTGTTTGGGCCATCATCGGTATGAATTAACCGTGGACGAGGATTGTTAGTAAAGGTCTTTCTCGAGCATCGTGATATATCGTGATAGTCTTTTACCGACTATCACTGGACATGAGCCCGAAACGGGACAAACCCTATAGAAAGACCAGGATTTCTCCAACTTTGGAGGATCGCACTGAGAGTCACCCCGCACAACGAACAAGAACAAACCTGCCCATCGAGCAGCATCCTTCGTGACATACTTGAACCATTCCAAAAGGCTTCAACAACTGTTATCTCTTCTGGCGTTCCCACATGAACGTGCCTTTCAGTGGTGGCATGCGAAACATACATTGGCAACACATGGAAAAATATAGTAAGCTATCATGAATCATATTAATAAGATATCATTGCGCATGCAAGACCATATCAAACCAGTTCGCCAAGTTCGCAAGTCTCTCTCTTTCCCCCGCTCGAATTCTTTGCGCAAAACTTTCCCAACCAAGCTCAGCGTCCAACTCGGCTTTGGGCCAACTCCTCCACACGAATGTGAGAGGAAGCGCTGCCAGTGGCACGGGGTGCTTGAGCACGTTGACCCTCCTCCGAGCTGCTCCGGCTGTGCCTCACCCCGTGAGGAGGCTGAGCGGTCACCAGGTGAGGGATGCAGGGGATGCAGGGTTGTAAAAGGAGACCAGGAAGCAACTCTCGAAAGACCTTGGTCACAAGGTTGGCCAAAACATCCCTGTGACATGCTTGTCCATGTGCTTATCCTTTTCATTGGCATTTCTTCCCAAACTTCATCCGTGCATTCATTGAGCTCCTGGATTTCATTGAGCTGGACTCGAGCGATCGGCCTGGGCCAATCTAATCTGCGTCGTCTTCTTCCATCCTCATCAGTTCGGCTTCTCACATCCTTGGAGTTCGGCCAAAAGAAGCGGACGATGAATTTGGCAGAATCCATCCGAATCCATGGTGGTATCCAAACCGAGGCTGATTAGGTGATATCCTGCACGCAAGGAAGTATTGGAACATTGCTGGCAGAATGGTTCCAGTTTGAGAGAGGAGGTGCTTCAGAGGACCACCGAACTCAAATGGTTTCAAACCCTTTTTCCCCGCCCCATTCAACACTTCCACCCCCACCAAAGATTCCCATTTTCCCTTTCTCATCCACCTTCCTCTTCTTTTCCAACCCTCTTCGTAAGCCGCCCAACACTACGCCGATCCTCATCCAACGCCAGTTCCGCTGACATCTCCAAGGCGCGGAGTGTCGTTCCATTTCCTCCTCGCCATCGGCCTCCTCCGCCCGCGCCCGGCTTTCCTCCTCATCGAAGGGTCGCGCCGCTGTGGCACGGCCAAGCCGCCGTGCCTGAAACACCCACGGCGCCAGGTGGGAGGGGAGTGGGAAGACGCTGTTCCCCGGAGCCCGGAACTCGTAGGTGGACCTCCTTATATAGGAGTTTGTTCAGTTCCTTTTTCGCTGAGTCAACCACGGTGCCCCGTTTTGACCCACGGCCATGTGGAAAACGAGGTCATCTCATGTATTTTGTAGTGGCAAATAAATGGACAACACACACCGGGAAAGGGGCAAAGAGTGGGAATAGTACGGCATCGTGGAG